AGTGGTAAAACACCACCTACTTTTGAAGGTATTGGTAAAATTCGAGGTGTTAAAATCTTTTTTTTACCTCCTACTTTCTTGATAGCTTTTCGAGCAGTTGCAATAGCATCTTTGATTGTCGATTGAGCACTATTACCTGGAATTATGGAATTTCTTGCAACATCAACAATTTTCCGTAGTGCCGTACGTTTCACCTTCGTCTTCCTCCTCCTCCTCATCTTTTTCTTTTGCTTCTTTAGCCCCATACCTAATTTTGACTTGACTTTCATAGTACCAGATACAGCCAAAGCAGCTGTTTTTTCACCTATACTAGCGTCACGTGCAAAAACACGTTGTAATGCCTTTTTAGCTAGTATCCTATCAGCAACGTTTCTTGCTTCAATGTTATCTGGATTTTTTGAATATGAAATATCGTGCTCCTTACAAGCAGAATCCAAAGGATTTACACCAGGATCACCTCGAGCAAGACGTTTTGCTAATTTTGTACCTGGTCCACAGTATTGATAACCAGGTAGATGTAATTCAAATGGTAATTTGTTGATAAGACTATTCACTAGACCTTCACCGCTAATTTTGCGATGTACAGTCATACTTGCGATGTACAATCATACTTGCGTCTGTAAAGGTTGGAATTGAAATGAATGGAAGGTTATAAAAGAGGTGTATTTATACCTTTTTGCCACAGTCTAAACTATGATGCGATTCAATGAACAACCTCATAAGCTACCAGTCGTAAATCTTGACTCGATTGTTCAACAACAGGAGAAGAAAGTGAAACGTCATGGTAGTTTATTGTCAGGCAGTATTCGTGCAATATTCTGTGGTCCATCAAATTGTGGGAAAACAAATGTACTTTTGTCTTTAATATTACATCCTAATGGTCTCAGATTTGATAATATTTATCTTTATTCAAAATCTTTGCAACAACCAAAGTATAAATTTTTGGAACAAGTTGTGAGTGAAGTTGATGGAGTTGAGTATTTACCATTCAGTGAACATGAAGAAGTAATTTCTCCTCAAAATGCAAAACCAAACTCTATATTTATATTTGATGATGTTGCATGTGAAAAAGAAGATAATATTAGAGCATTTTTTTGTATGGGTAGACATGTAAGCGTTGATAGTTTCTATTTATGTCAAACTTATGCAAGAATTCCAAAACATTTAGTACGAGATAATGTGAACTTGTTAGTTCTTTTTCGTCAAGATGAAAAGAATTTAAAACATGTTTATGATGATCATGTGAATACGGATATGACATTTTCTCAATTTCGTGAATTATGTTCAGCTTGTTGGAATTCTGACAAGTATGGATTTGTTGTAATTGATAAAGATAGTAATTTAAATGAGGGAAGGTATAGAAAAGGTTTTGACTGTTTTATTTCACTATAAATAAAGATAATTTTTGAATTTGTTTTAGTTTAAATTGAGACCTTGATATATCAAGATGTATAATAAAGAGAAAGAATATTTACATCAAATTGCTAAAGCTAGTGAGGCAATTAGACATAAACATCGTTTATTTAAATTAGGAAAAGAAAATGCTGAAAATCTGTTGAACGAAACCTTCAAACCTATAGTTGAACCTTTACAAAAAATTATTACCATAAATGACATTAAGCGTGAAAATTTTAAAACGGAAAGGATAGAAAAGGAGGAAAAAGGTGATAATAAAGAGGAAGATGATAATTTGAGTTTTAAGAGTATTGAAGATAGTGAATCAACAATAATCCCAGACTTTGAGTATGATAAACTGCTAAATAAGTATATTTACTTGATAGATCACAACAGAAAACAGTGTTTGGATCCAGTATATGGAGTACGTAAAATGCGAGATGGATCACTTCTGATTGGTGATAAACCAATAATTTTTAATCAACAGTTTTTGAATGTTGGAAATAGACGTTTTACCATTACCCCTGGATTATTGGAACTTTTATTTAAAAATAAACCGGAGAATTCACACATTAGTGATCATGATATAAATAATTATAAGCAAATTCTCATCGACTCCAATGCACATAGAAAAAATACAGTGCTTCTGAACCTATTAATATAAGTAAAAGTTTTAAATACACTAATGTTATTTCAAATCTATTTCCTCAATCTGTAACTCCGAAAAGTAAGTCAAAAACTGGTACATCACTTCCAAAATTTATGATTACAAAAAGAAATTTTCAACCAGACTACATCTATTGGGATGATCCAAATGAGTTAGTTGATCGTTTAAGACTACTTACTGCATCACAAGCAGCTGGTAATCCAAGTCATAATAATGAAATTATGTCCATTATTGAAGAATTACGTGAAGCTAAAATTATATATTAGAAGTTGTTTTATCAACTACATATCAGTTTTAAAATGAGCATTGATGTATTCCGACATCCCCTCAATAGAGGAGGAACTGTAGCAGCAAAACGAGGACCACCTGGACCACCTGGAGTTGGTTTTAAAGTAGATCCAGAAGACAATTATGACTCTGGAGGGAAAAGAATTTGTAACCTTGCAAAAGCTAAAGCAGAGGGCGACGCAGTTAATTTATTACTTACTCAACGTATGATAGAGAACGAAGTGCGACTAGTATATCAAGTCACGTCTTCATTAAGGTTAGACATTGACAATAGTAATGTATTGTTAAAAATTCTTGAAGCTTCGGTAACAGATAAACTACAAAATCTTAAAAAACAAATAATTATTGGTGAACTGGATACTCGTATGAGAGTTCTTGAAAATGAAATGAAAACTCTTGAAATACAAACATCAGCTCGGTATCAGAAAAATTAAACAATCTTGAAAGACAAATAAATCAAGATTTATCATATCGAAACGCTGAAATTATTGGTGAACTAGATACTCGTATGAGAGTTCTTAAAAATGAAACGAAAACTCTTGAAATACAAACAAAGAAAAATATATTGGATACTGACAACGGTAATGTGTTGTTAAAAACTCTGAAAGGCTCGGTATCACAAAAATTAAACAATCTTGAAAGACAAATAAATCAAAATTTATCATATAAAAATGCTGAAAGTATTGGTCAATTGGACAGTCGTTTGAGAGCTCTTGAAAATGAATGACAAAAAGTTCACAGTACATCAATAATGAATCAATAATGAATCAATAATGAATCAATAATGAATCAATAATGAATCAATAATGAATCAATAATGAATCAATAATGAATCAATAATGAATCAATAATGAATCAATAATGAATCAATAATGAATCAATAATGAATCAATAATGAATCAATAATGAATCAATAATGAATCAATAATGAATCAATAATGAATCAATAATGAATCAATAATGAATCAATAATGAATCAATAATGAATCAATAATGAATCAATAATGAATCAATAATGAATCAATAATGAATCAATAATGAATCAATAATGAATCAATAATGAATCAATAATGAATCAATAATGAATCAATAATGAATCAATAATGAATCAATAATGAATCAATAATGAATCAATAATGAATCAATAATGAATCAATAATGAATTAATAATGAATTAATAATGAATTAATAATGAATCAATAATGAATCAATAATGAATCAATAATGAATCAATAATGAATCAATAATGAATCAATAATGAATCAATAATGAATCAATAATGAATCAATAATGAATCAATAATGAATCAATAATGAATCAATAATGAATCAATAATGAATCAATAATGAATCAATAATGAATCAATAATGAATCAATAATGAATCAATAATGAATCAATAATGAATCATTAATGAATCATTAATGAATCATTAATGAATCATTAATGAAGCAATAATGAATCATTAATGAATCATTAATGAATCAACAATAAATCATTAATGAATCAACAATAAATCATTAAGGAATCAACAATGAATCAAAAATGAAATAATATTAACTAACTATTAAAAACTAATTTAAGCTTCGAGATGTATTAATTACTTTAAGGGGGGCGCCTACTTTATCGGGTCAAAAAAAGCGATTTTTTTAAAATTGTCTTAACTGAAAGTACAACTATCAGAGAATATGCTCTTAAAATATTACGTCAAAATACAAAGTATTTTTCGAGTTACAGCTTGTAGAACGCAATAAAGTGCGTGGCCTGGCGCGCGACAACACTCGCAGTCTCTAATACTTTTCATAATTTGTTGCGCTTATCTACTATTACACCTACCATTAAACCACCTACCATTTATCAGTAAAATGTCGTCTTATCCAAGAGCTACCCATAAAAAATAGTCGTTCATCGAGGCCGCGAAAAAGACGTAAGTTTTTAATAAACAGCACTTACATGTTTTTCAATCTTTAAACTCGTTTTTCTCAAAACACTGTTTTTGTAGTTTGTGTACACGATAGACAAAAATCTATTCAACCGATTAAGGTCTACCTGGGCTTGTCATGAAGATAAAAAGTGTCTCTTCTGTATGAATTAAATTTGTTTTTGATAGAGTTAAATTTAGTGCTTTCTTTTAAAGAAAAAATGAGATTTTTTTGGCGAAAATTAAATTTTTTTTAAAAAGTCATGTAAAAATGTCAGTTTTTACTTTCTATTGAAATCTTTTAATTCATACAGAAGGCAATAATGTATATTTAAAGAAAAAATTTTGTTTTTTTGTTTTAGATAAGAATTGTGGACCATAGGTTGTACGCAATGGGAAAATTTTAGCAGCGAGGCGTTATATATATGGCGTTTATTTTATTATTAAATTCTATTTTCATTTAATCAAAAAATTATATTTCAAAGATTTAAATATATAAGAAAACATACACTAAATCTCGCATCGATTTATTTAAATGTGTTTGAGAAAAAAATTCCTGAAATGTACGCAGTTTTTTACCTTCTAAAGTAGGCGCCCCCCTTAAAGAATTTTTTAAATTGTAATATTTTGTTAGAAATTAATAAATAAAATGAAATGTATCTGGTAAAACTGTCCATTTATTTAGTAACAATTTTTATATTTACAAATTTTCACATATATACATTATAAGCTTAATCTCTTTCCTCTATTCTATAATGTCCCCAAGCAAGAGTATCATAGCTATCTGGTAATAAATATCGCTTGTCGTCCATTGGACTTAAAGCAACTTTAAGTTTTTTAACAGTTTCAACGTTATTAAGTCGTGATCGAATTACATGTTGAGTTCTTGTCTGAATTGCAAAATTTTGTAGACAGTCAGTATAATCATTGAAATTGATAGTTTTTTACAACTACCGATCTAACTCGCTTAGCTTTCTTTGTAAAATCCTGACCATTTACACGAATACTGTACATCTTACTCCTTAAACCAACAAATTCTGTGATTATTTTTCCACTACATTCATCTTTCATAAGTCCAAGTACTTTGTTGTTGGCTTGAGGAATATTATAAATATTATCCTTTGGATAATCCGACGTATCAAACTTATGAATATCCTCCTTCATATCTACATAAATATCAGCACACTTTATTTCATAAATTAAACTATCAGTATCTGTATACATCAACTTACAAGATTCACCATACTTTTTTAACATGTAATCATAATGAAAGTCATAAATAAGTGACTTAGATACATCGAGTACTGCAAAACCAATGTAAATTGGCTTGCTTATCAAAATTGCGGTTTTTCTCAGTTCAATTGCAACAAGGTTTTCACAGAAAATTGACCGACTGTGGAAATTTGTTTTAGATATCAGAGCCTCAGCTCCATAGCGACCCTCCCACTTAGTTACAAGTTTTACATCGACGTGTTTGCGTACATTTTCCATGGTTTTTCCATAAACGGCATTATTCATGAGTTTAAACAGATTCTTTTCATATTCATTTGTCGCTTTACTTCTTTTTGCAGTATTAAAGTCAATATAAGGCTTAAGCCACGTCGATAGGTTAAATTGCATGACTCTGTGAATTTTTACCTACTTGAGTCCATTAGCAAGAACTTGTTTTAATACTCTATAATCGATAATGTACTTGCGCTTAGGATTCAGTGTAGTTAAAAGCTTTGCTTGTTTTGATTCCGATGGTGGATTTGAGTGTTCTGAGCAGAATGGAAAATCACTGTGACTGTTGTGCAATTCTATTGGATAATCTAAATCTACTTCTAAAATGTAGCCAAAAGGTGAATCATCTGATATATTAAAGTCAAAATTGTCGTCAACTTAAACCCACTCAAATCCACCATAAGGGAGTGGTTGTACCATACTCCAACCGTAAAGATTGTTTGCATCAAAATACATAATGTACTTGACCTCCTCATTTTTATTAAAATTTTCCATAAACGGATTATTAGCACAAGCATAGCGATTGCTACATTGACTTATACCTCCTCTCACACCACGTTCAAAAAACATTAGTTTGTCAATGTCTGTCAACAATTCTAACCTTACATTAGTATATTTCAACATCGCGTCCCAAGTTAATCTCGGTGTAGTATAGTAATGAGCAGGGTCAAGTCTATAAGCTTGTAAGCACTGATGTCTAAAATTTTTTAAGATGTCGGCTAATAGTAAAACATCTGTTTTCATGTATAAATCAACATATTCACAGAGATCAGAACAATTAAATGTAGACCAAATACGTTGGGCATGTAAGTAATCTTCATCAGAAACCGTACTATCATTCAATGTACTACAAAATTTTTCTTTAGCAGGTAAGTTTGTTTCTTCTAATCTTTGACGAGAATCCAAATATTCATACGGTAAAACCCCTTTTCGTGTAAGTAATTCAATTTCTTCAGAGGTGAAGTTTGAAAATACTTGATTCACAATTTTATACTCGGATAAGGATGATGCCAATTTCTCCAAAGACGATGCCATGAATTTAAATGAGTCTATAAATCGAAATTTGATTTTCGTTTCTTTTACATATTTAGTAAAAGAAATATATTTTTCTTTATTCAGTGGTAAAAGTTCAATCTTTCCCGAAAATTCTAAACAAATGACTCTAATTATAAAATGAGCATCATACCCACTCAAATTGTGAAATACAACTGGTACTACTCGTGAATCTTGATAATTTAAATTACATTTTTCATGAGCTGCACCTCGATATTTACCAGTTAAGTGGGAATGGTCTCGAACTTTCTTCTCACGTGGTAAAAATGACCCTTCACAAATATGACATATTTGAGCATCAACAAAAGCTTTAATCTCGTCATGTGTCAATCTATCCATTGGAATAGGGTTTTTAAAAATATTATCCAGAGTTTCAGCCAACTGTTTCAACTCCTGGACGAACCACTTGGCAGCATCTGTTCCATCTGGACACGAATTGTATTTGGATAACGAATCATCATAACTGCAATTTGAATAATATCCAGTACTGAACATTTCATGACGTTGAATCACTTCAGTATTACAAGTGGTTTCTTCATCTTCGACAGGATTCAACAAACACTCACAGTCAGCGTAGATTACAAATGGAACTTTTTCTCTGTTTCCATAATTTTTAAACTGAATAAAATTCTGTCCTGGTTTGGGAAGGTTTATTTTACACTCATTTAACGTCTTGCACTCCTCCTCATGTCTGGCTAATCTCTCCTCCGTGACAAAGTAATGAAGACATCGATCACAGATATGTTTCTTTTTTCTAAAGTCAAGTGTAATGAGACTGTGTTGTACTTTTTGTTTATTAAGCGAAGTCCATACAGATTAATAGAGATGTCATTATGTTTTTCAAATTTTGTTATATCTTTTAAGGAAACAGGAAACTCGATTCCGGTAAAGTTCAATTCTTTTCCATATCTCAAGTAATGATTCATCAACTCTAGGTGTTGAACTTTTGGGTATAAAGCTGATAAAACTGACCAGTTAAAACAATTGTATCCATATTTTTAACATTTATACATGCACGCTTTGCTTTGATTTCGATAGGTAAATCAATGTAGGACCCAACTCGTATTGCATTATATTTGTTAACGTTGACTTCTAATTTTGTAATTGAATGAAGTGTCCATTGTGATTCCTTCTCTTCAAACTCCCCCACTTGTTTTAATATATGCTCTTTAGCATTTTTGTTATACCATTCAATTAAAACAGTTGTTGGAAAAATTATATTACTTCTCACATTAAAATACTTGGGTTCAACTTTCTCTTCATCATTAATAATTTTTTTAAACTTTGTTGCAAGCACAGCATAAACTTTCAGTGAACCATGCTTTGTAACAACTTTTTAATAAAATCTTCAAAAAGTACACATGCATCATCTAAAAAAGCACTTATATCTAAGAGCACCAGGTTGATAATTATACTTGTTTGAAGTCGACATTTTCCACAGATCTACCCCCACCCACCTCCTCTACAGTACTCTCCTTCAACAATGCCTTCCGCGGTCACCCCCTCTTCTCCTCCACCGCTTGCTTTAACGATGCTGCACGCCTCGGCTGCCCTGCGCTGCTATCCCCCTTTTCCTCTCCTCCAAGATATCTCTGCTTGCCGACTGCTTCTGCTGCTCCTTCCGAGTTGCTCCAAGAGAATGCTGATCACTACTGTGTCCAACCCTTCTTTATATACCAAATCTCACCGATAGACACACTCACATGTGCGACTTGCGCACCACTTAGACATGGTGACTATACATAGTCACTTGCCCACTTGGTCGGTAAAACAGTTTCCTACCTTGCCGACCGAGGTAAAATTCATGTCAGGAACCTACATTACCGACTGATGGTAATACCGACCGACAGTGGCGCCATCTAGTGGCAGCCGTCGGAACTAGTATCTGCATTACCGACTGTAGGTATATACCGACCGGCGGTAAGCTACAGTGGCGCCATCTAGCGGCAACCAGAGGAACTAATTCCTGAGAGTGACATAGTTACACTACTGGTGCGTAATATAAAACTCAGGGTAAAAAAATTCTGAGAAAACAGACTACTCTAAGGTATGTTGAATCTGTTTTTTGGATTTTAACAAAAGCGCTTTAATTTTCCTAATATTGATTATCATCCATGTATAAAAGAGAGTAAAGAAATTGTGAATATTACAGAATTGTGATAAAAATGCTATTTTACGAAAGTAAACGGAAAAAAATGTTAGAAAGGCAATCCTATAAATTGTCATGTAGACTGTAAGAAAATTGTGTTTTAAACACACAAATTAGGAATAGCACAATCCGATTTGCGTTAGTACAGAGACTTTATGAAACTTGTTTGTTTCCCAAACCTCAGCGTTTTGTGAATACTCTAACCGGGTTTTTTAGATGGCGCTAGAGATTCTGTTAATAACACTATAAATTTTTTTGCGTGTAAAATAATGACATAATCAGTAAAAGTAAAATATAAGCGATTCACCAGGTAACTGTTGTTCTTTTTTAAATACATTGAATCTGAAATGCATGAATTCCTATTGTCTGTATATAAAATACATTGAAATATGTCTTACATTCTTATTTGAATACATTAGTAAATAATACAGTAAAAGGTTTGGTTGTGGACACCTCTTCGTAACTTTTGATAAACGAATGAATCAAATCTGACAAATGTTAAGTGTGTGCTATGTCCGTACGTAGTTTTTCATGCGAATATCAAAAGAAAAGGACACTCGTGCTTTGTGTTGTGAAGTAATTAGTTTTTTCATACCAGTAGATTGACATAGAAGTTTTTTTAAATCATTTTTCAAAGTGCAACAAGTTGATGTAAATCAATCGAGAACGTAAAGTAAAACCCCGTTTATCCGAGCTCGCTTCATCCGAAGTCTCGACTATCTGAGGTGGTGTCCTAGTAAGAAATTCTGCATTATCCGAGTTATTTGTAATTTTATTTTTTTTATAAATATGAGTTTTTTTATAATAAATTTAAATTGTTTAAATTATTATATAATATATATACCATAGTATATTCCCGTTTGTAATAAATAATTGTTTTAAATAATGAATATATTAAATTGTAATAAATATTTAACAATTCGGTTAAATTCAGTTTTCGCCTTATCCGGGGTAGGTTAGGTTCATATTAGATTGGATAACCTGAGTACTTCTGTAAGTACAATGCCTATTCAAACAGTAAATTTATTATTAATTATTAATATATTATTTCAAGTGTGCCAACATGAGTACCAGCTACTGACAATGCAAACATTGTAAAGAAATTGATAAATGATATTTTCTATTGTTGTTTTGCCGCTGAAGGTTTTTGAAATAAATAAATTGTTACACGGAGAAAAAAATCGAGCGAATATAGCAGAGACAGTAACTATACTACTTTCGCGGGTGCGCTTTTTGCGATATTCGTAGAGCAACATATTACATTTGCAGAGACCTATACTCTTTTAGTATAGGACCCTGCAAATTTGGTGTGTTGCTCTACGAATATCGTAGAAAGCGCACACGCGAAATATTCGCTTGATTTTTTTTCTCCCTGTACTTCTTTTTATATCTGCGGTGGTTTTAATTCATTTTTTCATATTTTTAGCAAATATTTAAAGGATGTCCAGTTGTCCACAACCGAACCCAAACTTATTTTTGATGAAAATAAACAATTTATTAAATTTTTAACATTTTTCTAATCGACGGAATGAGTCAAAAACAAAATGGTGTCCACAACTGAACCTTCTCCTTAAAAAAAATTACAATAATAATAAAAATTTTATTTAACTTCATCTATAGACGGACAATAGAAAATCCTAATTAACTTTTGATTCGATTGGCACAATTGTTGTCACAATTTGTATTCCGAATTTTTGTATATTTTTCAACTAAAACTTTCTTATAAAAATTACTTGCTATAGAATGCAAATTAGTCAAAAACAAGAAATTTTTATGTTATTTTCATGGTCAGAAGAGAGAGACTATTGCGTTAAATTTTTAGACGAAAAAAGTGTTATTTAAATATTTCAATTATATATTTAAGAAATATTAAGTTCGTGTATGGCTCATTTCACTTAAAATGTCATATTCGTGTCCCTTGCTAAACAAATTATTTGATATAACCTTAGTTGAAATTAATTTTTTTATATTGTAAAATGCAATATTTTTCAATAATTCTTCTACCTACAAGGACATAAAAGCAGGGACCTACCCGAATCATTCGTATCGTTTCCGTTTCTGTTGTGTACACACGAAGCTGAAGTACTCAACGTTTATATAAATGATTTTTAAAGAAATAATTTTTTAAAATGAAAAATTCTATAATACTTTGCATAAAAAATATTTTTTGTATAATTTGTTGATTAATGAAAACTACAAGAAATATTTTTTAGGCAAAACACTATAGAATTTTTCATTGTAAAAAATTATTTCTTTAAAAATCGTTTATATAAACGTTGCGTACTTCAGCTTCGTGTGTACACAACACATTTATACATTAACTAATGTGTTGTGTCCTGACACAAAACATTTCTCTATTGCCTAATGTGTTGTGTCCTGACACAAAACATTTTCCTATTGACTAATGTGTTGTGTCCTGACACAAAACATTTCCCTATTGACTAATGTTTTGTGTCCTGACACGATACTTTTCTACATTGATTATCGTTTCGTGTTTGGACACAACACATTTTCTCGTCGAATAATTTTTCGTGTCCGGACCTGACACTTTTAAAATAAAGAAATGTTTTCGTGTCAGAACACGACACATTTTCTCATGGAATTATTTTTTAAATTGTTACTTGCTAGTTTTTGGGATCACTGGATCCAAATGTAGTTTCAGAAATAAAAAAAATCAGAGTGGCGGATCTAATTTGGCGTAACAAGTAAATTTGTTCATGAGAATATTTTACAATGAGAAAGTGGGTTATATCCGGACACGAAAACATTTAAAAAATTTAATAGTGTCGTGTCCGGTCAGGGCACGAAAACATTTAATTTTTCCAAAAGTTTTCGATAAGGACACAAAAGCATTTAATTAATTTAAAAGTGTCGTGTCCTCACACGAAAACATTTTCAAATTTCAAAAGTGTCGTGTCCGGACACGAAAACATTTAATTTTTTTAAAGTTTCTGTTCAGGACACGAAAACATTTCATTAATTTAAAAGTGTCTGGTCAGGACACGAAAACATTATAAATTATTAAATGTGTTTGTGATTGAACACGACACTACACAAAATTGATTTGGCGTTTTGTTTCGTTTCCGTGTCAGTCCCTGCATAAAAGTGAGTTTTATGATATTGGTAGAACAAAAAGCAGGCAAAATGTCATAAGTGTAATGCGTCCCCGGCGACATTTTTAATGTTTAAATGAATTGAAAGTCGAAAGTTAAATGTTTAAACAAAAATATTTCGTGAAGGATTAGTTCTATATTTAAGAAAAATAGTAATTAAACTTTATTTTATACCACTTTCAGAAAAAATCAAAATGACGTGTCCCTCACTTTTGTATTTTTTTGTTTTGCGGGCAGAATTTCTTATATAAGATCCTACATAAGATTTCATGTAAGAATTCATCACATAGTAATTTATGTGGGATGTCATGTGTGTATTTCACTGTTTTAATTGTCCATCTAAGATACCAAGTCGGAAATTATATGAGAAATTATATGGGAAATTCAAATATAGATGTAGATCATCATAGTTCCACTCTTATGCCGCCAGATGGTGATAATTTTTTTCTCACAGTTGAGATTAGTCTTGAATACTATAAAAGCTGAGACTCTAACTCAGAAGGTGTATTGCAAAGCACAATTTCTTTTCTTTTCAGATGAATTGCAGTAATATTATTTGATTTTTAATTAAATAATTTTTAATTTTTATAAACTGACGTCTGGATTTTAATATATGATTTTATGTGAGATCCTATATAAGATCCTACATGAGAATTTTCAGTAGGGATTAATATGGAATCTCAACCAACTCACTGAATAATAGTGAGGGAAGGAGGGGATCCACTTCCTATACAATATAATTTGTCCGAAGGGGAACGTATGTTAAAGTACCAAGATCTTTTAGAGTTTTTAAAATATCAATCTTTGATTGATATTGACAAAAAAACTAATTTTCAAAATTCATCTTTAACAATATTATTTATATGTGACGCTCCACGGTGAAAGGGACCTTAGCTCCAAAAGACAAATTTTACAGAAAACGCGTTTAAAGTGATGCGTTCTGATTGGTTGGAGCGCTCCATCAGAATTCAGCCCCACCACCTTACTACTACATTGCTATTTTGTACATCGGTGAGTCAGACGCGTCTGAGATTACTTCGTTCATCTTCGGCTTTAATATTATGCGCGCCAATTTTTGAATTAAAACACGAATGAAAACCGGCTTTTTTTGGAAATGTAAGTTGATATATTTTTAATTAAAAAGCATTAAATTTTATTGTAAAAAACAACAAAAAGGAAAATAGAGAAAAAAATTATATAATAATAATATAAATATTTAAATAACTAATCTCCATGATTGGCTTTCCTAGGGCTCTGAGTGTATAGTTACGCTACTGAAAGAGCCGATGTCGCACGAAGCGAGTGAATCACACACACAAGGCGAGTATGATTGTGTGAAAAGTGGAGGGGCTGGATTTCTGATACTGCCTTGTGGTGACGTCACGTAACCAAAACATGCCCATGTTTAATTAATAATAACACGAAATCTAATAATTAAATTTTTTTTGAATTTTTCATGTGAAAGAGCAACTCCTAATCTATGGATTTACATCAATAACTAGAAATTCATGTTTTTGTAGCTAAGGTCCCTTTCACCATGGAGCGTCACATATTATCATGTAAGCGTTATTTAAAAAATATCAAAAAGTTTTAATACTGTTATGCTGTGTTATAAAAATAATTGCGCCCAATAAAAATTACTATCGAAAACTGTATATGATGAAATTGATATTTGGTTAAGCCTCATAATTGAAAAAGTAACAAAATAATTCTTTAAAATCTCCGAGCGATAAGTTTCAAGCCAATCCTAGCACTTTTGAGAAAACTCGACTGTCTTCTTCTGATTCGTGAACAACGACTCCAATAACGCCCGCGTAACGAATTTCAAGCTAATCCATTCGCTCGGTTTATCAGAGGCACGAAAGGGTTAAGATTTGACGATTTCTGCCAAAGAACCGTCTGCCATAAAAAATATATGACTCTTATTTTGTAACCACTATTAATTTTGTTAATTTAACATGTTAAACTGTATAAAAAATAGTTTCAACCTCAGAATCAAAATTTGCCAACTCAACATTTCTGGAAGCTGAATACACCGAAAAAACGGTATTCTAGTTTTAAGATTATTATTTTCTTAAAAAAATATTCTTAAAAATATTCTTAAAATATTCTAGTTTTAAGAATGTTATATTCTTACATAAATATTCTTAATAATATTCTTAAGCAGATTCTAACTTTAAGAATATTTTCTATGTACTAAATCTTCTTCTTCTTAAAACAAGAATATGCACTAGAATTGACGTGCTGCTAGCTTGTTCGCGTCGCCATTGACTAACGAGTCGTCGTGCAATTATTTTATTAATATAATTATAGTTTTTTTGATTAAATGTTGATTACCAAAAGTGGGCAACATTACCTCTATTTGCCGCGAAAACTGTCAAGCGTGTGTGCAGTCATCGCCACGATCCAACAACGTGTATATAGCTATATAGCTGTTATCGATTGCTTTTTCAGTGTAGCATCGATAAAGACGAGTGTTCTAACGTTGTTGTTGTTTTTTGCTTTTTTTTGTTTTTCTTGTTTTTTTTGTTCTATTTTTCAATGTTTTATATTATTATTTATATTTGTGTGTTGTGTCTAGGTAATAATGTAAACACCATGAAAAGAGTGAGAGGTCTTACTATGGATTTGATAATTAAGTTTATAGTATTCTTAAAACTGCTAAAAGTATATTTCTTGATACAAGAAGAAAATATACTTATTTTAAGATTATATTCTAAAAAAGTGATTCTAAGAAAATATTCTTAATATAAGAAGATTCTATTCTTGATTTAAGAATATATTCGTGGCGCCTATTTAAGTCTCGCATATTCTTAAAATAAGTTGAAAATTCTTAAAATTAGAATATCGTTTTTTCGGTGTAGGACAATTTAAATGAAATGAACCGTATAGATTTTTAATATATTACCTCATCTTCTGTGTCGGAATCAACCATCGGCTCACAATTATCAGCTGCAACCTACAGCATAATTTAATATGATTAATTATAGATATAGTCTCCTAGTATTCCGTATGTTTACATCTAAAAATTATTTTTAATTTTAGATATTTTATTTACATACTATGCAAGTATCTCTTAGGAAAATGTAGGTATAATAGGAAAATTCTAATAGAACCTATAATTCTTCTTCTAATATTTTTCCTATCATTTTTCCCCGAAGATGGAAAAATGATATGAAAAATAATAGAAATAACGATAGGAAAAATGATAGAAAACCGCTGCTAAGTTCAAGTATGAATTTTTTGTGTTCATGAAATGACACTTTGCTTCCCCATGAAAATTTTTTATCATCAATTTATGGTAACTTATTTAGTATTTAGTATTATAATAATTTTAAAAAGGTTTTAAGTTGTATTTTTTGTGCATTTGCAGAGATATATTTTTAACATCAATAATTTCGTAATATTTTACAATAAAAAGTTCAATAATAAGTAAATTAAGTCGTTTCAGATTTTTTAATAAATAATGCAAAAATGGTAAGTTTAAAAAATTTTTAAATTTCAAAATGTTAATAGCTCTGGATAAAATGACAGTAAGATATTCACTAATATATCAAAATATGCGCCTTGAAAAAGTTTACAAAGCTAAAGATAAATATCTATTGGTGTCAATACAGTTTTTAAGTTATGGGCAAAAAATGTTTTTCTCTAATTTTTAAACATTTAATAACTATGGATAGAATATCAGTAGAATACATCAAAAAATCATGTTCGAAAAATTTTGGTATTACAACGATAGGACAAATTGTAAAAAAATGATGGAAAAACGATACAAAAAAATTATAGGTAACATAATAAGAAAAATTATAGAAAAAAATGTTAGGAAATACACGGAGAAACTTTTTGTATCACTTTTTGTTTAATCATATACATTTTTCATAAGTTGACTATTAAAGTGGGGAAAAAGTGAGAAAAAGACGCTTATTTAATAGAAGTATCTTCACCAATATGGGATCCTTTTTTAGGGTTTCGTGGCCTAGGACCGAAAGTCTTATAGTTTCACTTTGGCGTCCGTCCGTCTATCTGTTGCACTCATATGGTTGCCATTGTAACAGATACCATAGCAACCGTCCGTCCATCCATCAGTCCGTCGTACACTCGTATGGTTACCATGGTAACCGTTTCCATGACAACCATTACCATAGCAACCATAGCAATTTACAAATAATGTAATCATAAATTGTTTATTATATGGGCGATTCCACTTGAGATTTATCATGTGGAATCGCCCATATACAAATAACTTTTAATCTGCATTTAAAAAGCTGCGAAACCCTAGATAGCTTTGCGCCTGCTTCTTTTTCTGATTTTTCAATATTTTGTAGGACATTTCAATGAGAACAATTGAATTTTCGTCCATGCGTTACGGTGACTAAAACGGCTGTATCTTTTTTCAATTTTCTTATAAAATCAAAAAATCTGTTGAACACGTTTCTACTTTCTTATCTTTCTCAAGTAGCAAAAAATTTTTATTTTTATATAATTCTAAAAAAAGTTACAGACAAATGTAGTCACCGTGACGCACCGACAGAATGTTTGTTTTTTCATGAAAATATCCAGTAGTCAAGTTAAAAAAAATTCGACATGGACTCAGAGTCATAACTAAAAAGGGCTCAGTGAAGCCCACAACTTAAACGCAGCAATTATTAATTAAATTATAATTGAACTATAAATAATATTAATGACCCATTGCTTCAGGTTCTTTTTCTGTGTTTTTTAATTTTACAATCTGGTTAAATTATACATCGAAAATACATTTTTTTCTGAGCTTGCATAAAACCCAAAAAAGTAACACATCATGTCATGTGCATCTCATATATTGAAGCTTATAATTATTTTAATTATCGAGAAACGCTTTCAAATAAATATATATTATTTCTGTTTTTTGTAAAGTTGGAGTTCATTTGTGTTGCTTCGCGTCAGTAAAAGTGAGGTAAGGGGCGATACAATATCTATACGAGAAAGTTATTTATCTAGACAATACAGCGAAAACACCAAAGCGAAGAAACAAATTCTTATCGGATCACGGAACTTAAGCAACGTTAGACGCAGTTGGTACTTGGATGGGTGACCACTTGCATTTTTTTTTCTATCATTATTCCTATCATTTTACCTATCATAATTTTTATCATTTTTCTATTGTTACTGAAAAATTATAGGAAAATATTTTAGAATAAGAATCGTAAGTTCTATTATAATTTTCCTATCGAACATCTTCGTAAGGGATGTTATGTGTACTTTACGTTATCTATTTAGCGTTACGTTTATCTATTTTCACAAAGAGTGAATACACATCCAGTTTAATCAAATATTTAAATAAAAATTTGTCCATTTTATTAAAATTTTTGTTTCCTCATAAATTGATTCAATTTTGAAAATTTTTGTTCAAGATCTTATACGTTGAAAATAACAATTATTTTTAAAAATTTAGATAAAATGTACTCTATTTATAGTTTTGCAGACTTGTTTTGATGGATTACGGAAAAAAGTTTCAGAAAATTTCGTGAAATAGCCATATTTACTTTTAGATACTAGATAAACGCATTTAAGTATAAGGAACTGTTTACTGAATTTTCTATGATTGTTAACCAAAATATAAGACCCTCACTAAAATGTAAAAAGTACATTTTCATCAAATTTTTTATGACTACTAAAAAAATTTCAAATTGCAATATAGCAAAAAAAAATTCGATTTTTTTCACAATTATTAGTAATGTTATGCACTAATTAACACTAATCTGCGATTAGTCCGAAATTGACGTAAAATAAAGTCGGAATTAGCCCAGTACAATTTGATTCGAAATACACTGGAGTCTCCCAAGAGAGGACTTCTGAAGAGAGGACTAAGTAGTGACGCGGCGCGGTAAGGAGTGAGGGGGGAAGAGATGGGCGGGATCAGAAAGAGGAACGTGAACTCAGGAGCGTTTGTTTTTAGAGTACCTTTCTCGCGCAGTGTTTTATGTATGTAATAGAATGTATTCTGTTAAAAAAACACATCTCTGTGATACGATATACGGCCCTGGAGTGTTTACAATTTTCGGCGTCAAGGACGAATTCCGTAGAGAGGTCCAAGACTCTTCCTGTCCTCTCTTCGGAGACTCTAGTGTAAATAAAAAAATAACCCCAAATAAATCCAGAATTTGTATGTAAACTAACAAAAAACTAAATCCGACATGAGTCTATAATAATTTGAAATCTTTTTGTGGAAAATCCGGTATTAGCCCAAAATAATCTTGTTTTAATCTTGTAAAAAATCCTAATCCGAAATGAGTCAGCAACAATGGTGGTTTTGAACATATAAATTCCGAATTTTCCCTGACTCATTTTTGATTAGGATATTTTAACAGATTAAGACTGGATTGTTGCTGACTAATACTTATGCCGCAAGGTGCAGTTTTCCAACACTTAAAATGAGTCTCAAGTTCTATGAGAACTATTCAATGTTATCATAAACGACATGTAGCCTTCTGACCAATACTCTCTACTTTGGTTAACACTCTTGAATGTTAAATATATCTGAAACAGCCCGGTTTTTAATATCCGGAATAAGTCAAGTTATTCCGCAATCAGCGTTATTTGTGAAACTTTTTTTATTAAGTCGAATCCATGTAGCAAAAAAATTGTTTCCTCTTTGAAGCCTTTTGCTACTTTATACATTTTTCAAAACAATATTTGTGTATAGCTGCACAGAGAGAACACTGTTACTATTTGTGCATGAGCAGTCTGTTCGAATATAGCACAGACACAACCTTTGTACATTGTTATAAAGCATATATCCATGTGCTGATTGTAAATGGATTTCGAGCAAAACGTGCACAAGCCGTGCAATATTACTACAAGCCTTTGCGTTAATAGCAACAAAAAATCATAACAAAAGTGCAGGAGTAAGTCTTGACAGTAAATTGGAACAGATTGTTCTCCGTATGCCTTTATATTTCCCAAAAACGTGTAAATTTGTACTGAAAAAGTAACACCAGAAAAAGGGAAAGACATTTTGCACAATTAATAAAAATAAAAACGTAATCGAAAAGGAATTTTATGGATAATCACCTAAATAGATTAATTAATTCATTTCCCTAATAGGTAAGTTTTTAACAAACATAATTTAGAGCATACAAAAATTTTTAAGCAAAAATAACAGGTCGCCACGAATAAAAAAAGCTTTCTCATGAGGAAGCAAAAAATTTATAATAATAGTTTAAAAATATATTTACTATAAAATTAAGGTATCAATTTAATACCAATTTTTGGTAATAAATAGTCCATTGGTTCTATTTTAATACCTGAAATCAGCTCGGCATTTTCCTTTCACAGTGTAGATACTTCACACGAAAGTAATTTAAGATTACCATGTAGATAACTCAATGTGACACTTAAAATGAATGGTTTTCGAAAGTACTTACAATGTCTAGATCTCTTTGTTTATAAACTTGAAGAGTTGAGCGAGGTACGTTTTTTTCATCGTCTTCAAGCCACAATTTATATCTTTTAGCTTTCCCTTCCATGGTCTAAAATGTAAGAAATTTAAAAAAAATTATAATGATGCTGAAGTTCACAATGATTAGGGATTTTTATAGAAATCAATTTTTACACGAAAAAAGCATAAATCAAAAGTGTAAAAAGGATAGTCATATATTTCTATCTCTCCAGTACTCATGAATTTCTATTTTGCATTCTTGATTCGTGCCACACATAAAATTATAAATTATTTGAAATTTTTAAGTTTATATTTGTTTATAAAAATTAATAACTTCTAGAGGAAAATTTTTTTCTTATCGAAAATATTTTTTCAAGAAGTGCAGGAAAAATAATATTAAAAATAATATAAACATTTCTTCTATGAACAGTATTAAAAAACTTGGAAAGGTTTAGAAATATACGTTCCGAAAAAAATGTTCAACTTTAACATCCCATAACTAGGCAACCCGACAATATAGAATTTTTATTCAATTGAATTTTTAAATGACAGAAATTCCTATACTCCAAAGTTTAGTTTGTCTAAATATGTATTTGTACAAATTTTTAAGACTCCGAAATTACAAATAGACTTTTTTTTACTAAATTTGATTCAAATTACTGAAAATAAATTTAAATTAATGATATTAAATGATTATAATAAATAAATAATAACAACTAAAAATGACAATTGAAAATTATACAAAAAATTTTAGGTTAAATATGATTAATCGCAAAATAAGTTTTATGTTAAGTCAAAGTTGTTTAAAATTATTTTTATTATAAGTTTTCAATAAAATAAGTATTTAAAAAGATTTTATGTCAACTAAAAATGCTTCCATGTGTAATGTGAAAAATATTCATGTGCTTGTTTAAAAATAAAGAATACATTCAGCAGAAAAAATAAACATATTAAAAAGTGATTTTAAAATTAGAGAAAAGCTCAATGATTAAAATAAATAACTTACCTCACTGCTTCTACTGTGGACGTGTATATGTTTAAAACATTAAACATTAAATAAGATCAACAAAAAAAAATCCGAACGATGTTCCAGCTGAATCGCACAAATGCGCCTTTCTCGGAATAACGAGAAATTATGACAGCGAAAATAAGTACCACAAACCTATAAGTCGAAAAACTCTTCTTGGTATTGTTAAACAGACTTATTTTACACTGACTTAACACCTCTGGTACAGCATGCGTACATGTAAAATTCGACTTGTTTAAAAAGTTGTTTAAATTAGAAAAATAGTTGCCAAAGCAAAACAAAATACTTTAGGGTTGGAGGGGATTTAGCTGCCTGTAAAGGCCAGCGCACAATAACTTTGCGAAAGTCGTTCGCAAACTGTCACGTCCCAGAAATTATTTACTAGATTTCCGTTAGCTCCGAACAGCACTACCAATCACAGGCTGGATCCTTGGACCGCGAACTTCGTTTAAAAACGAATGTTGAATTTAATTTTAAATTTCTTTATTGAATAAATATTTTCTTGGGATAATTTATAAATAAAACACTCAATTTGATTGGAAAAGCCCTTTTTGGATAAAAAACCAATTTTATTTAGACTTGAAATGTTTAATTATTAAATCACAATTATTAATTAATTTTTTTTCCTTTTTAGAATTCACAATCATTAATAAGTTCTTTCTTTTACAAAAGTTCACAATTGCTAATAAGTCTTTTCTTTAAAAATTCATAATTGCTAATAAGTCAAACACTTTTTATAAACTCAAAAGTTTAAGATTATTACATTTCAGTTTAACAAAATTGTTAAAGACTTATTTATTTATTGGTATATTTAACCAATCAGATTGCCGGTGACGTATTTTCTAACCAATAAGAAAAGTAAGTTTGAAAACTATAAATAAAAAAAGAAAAAAAAATTGACATATAGGAAAAGAGAGTTTGAAACTATAAATAAAAAAAGAGAAAAAAATTATATTTCTCTGGAATATGGCTATTTTTAGAATTTAACGGTTTTTGTTGAGTCTTTTTCTGTTTTTAACTTATGACTCATCATAAAAAACATAAAACCTTATTTTAATATTATTTATTTTATTAATTTTTTAAATATTTTTGCGAATATTATTTTATCCTAGATTTAAAATTAATAATTTTAAATCATAAAAGAAATTTTATATTTATTTTATGAAATAGAGATATTACCTAGATAATTCACACGAACGAGTTGCAAACATTACAGAAGGTCAGAGACAGTTTTTGTTCTTTTCTAACTCATATTCAATGCAATTGAATTAAATATATAACAAAATTAATTAACAACACACATTTTAATTTTATTATATGTCAACAAGCGTTTTGCATGTTTAAAATATTAGTAAAATTAATGAAAGGTGTGATTATTCTGTTGTTTTTAGAAACTTGTTTTGTTTACAACTTTGTACTCATCGAAACTAGTGCTAAAGGCCTGAGCAGAATAGAAACCTAACCGAAATCGTAATCGTAAACGCAACCGGAAGAAAAAGTTAGAGCAGGACAAACTATATATCCTTCTCTAACTCATTCTTTCGGTTACATTTGCGATTACGATTCCGGTTACGTTTGTATTCTGCTCAGACCTTTATGGAAAGTCTCTAATAGGAACCTAATAGCATTCGTAAACGTAGACGTATGACGTCACCAATACTAAACTACATGAGAACCAACGCGACGTATACGGAACGCTTGTTCCTTGGGTCCCATTGGAGACCATTTTAACAATAAAGTCACAAAATTTTTCTAGAGCAGGGTGCCGTAGTTGACGAGCATTATGACAAATGACGAGTAGGGATTTCGGCGAGTGGGGACAACGGAAACCAACCTGATATGTAAGTTCCCGCAACCGTATTTAAAGGCCTTTCTCCAATAGGTTACTAATGCCAATGTAGAGTCAGCATAAATGTTTGCGTTGCGTGACTGACTCGTAGATTCGCAAGCGCAGTGATCAAGCATTTATACCAATTGCAAACAAAAAGTTTGGTTTATGATTTTAAGACACTGAATTTTTTAATTATAAATATTAAATAATTAAAATTATTAAAAGCCGTCGAGAAACATTTGCATTAAAAATTGTAAAGTTGGAAAACCGAGATAAGAGGAACATAAACCAAACTATTTGTTCGTAATTGGTATTAATGCTTTGATGACGTCACTGCGCTTACGAACCAACACGTCTTTCACGCAACGTAAACATTTAGGAACATATTGGAGAAAGGCCTTAATGGTGCGTCTCCAATATTACCCTGAGCATTCGTAAACGTATGACGTCACCAATGCTAAACTAAATGGGAAACAACGCGACGTATACGCAACGCTTGTTCTTAGGGCCCGTCCAGAATAGACCAAAAACATGAACCTATACGTGAAGTATCCATTTAAGATAGATTGTGACTTTACGTATACGATCATGTCTTTGGTCTATTCTATACAGGCCCTTAATGGTGCGTCTCCAATGGGACCCTAGGAACAAGCGTTGCGTACACGTCGCATTGGTTCCCATGTAGTCTAGCATTGGTGTCGTCATACGTATACGTTTACGAATGCTCTTAGGTTCCTATTGTAGACGCTCCATCATAAGTTGCTTCTCCAATGGGCACGTTCGTACGTGGACGTGTACGTTCCGTGTGACGTCACAATGCTATTCATGCTGAGTCTATATTGTCTATATTGTGCACCTTAAATGGGGAACAAATTACAATTATTAAAGATAATAAACTTAAAATTAATTTATTCCTCGTATTTTTCAGAAATACTTGAAATAAAATTTTAAATTCTCTGCTGAAAAAAGGACACTGCATACTTCCCAAGTATACACTTTATCAAAAGTGCGACAAAAATCCCAATTTGGAAACGGCCGTAGTGTTCTAAGGACGGGTAACTTACGTCAAGAACAGAAAAAAGTATGCGGTAAATTACCGGCTCGTTCTTTTTCTGAGAATTTACAAAAAATTTTAAATGACTGGTTTTTTAAAGGCCTGAGCAGAATCGAAACGTAAGCGGAATCGTAACCGCAATCAGAATAATGAGTTGGAGAAGGACAAACAATATGTCTATCCTTCTTTAACACATTCTCCCGGTTGCGATTACGATTCCGGTTACGTTTCTCTTCTGCTTAGGCCTTAAAGGAAATGACCCTAGTTATTGTAAAAGCAATGCAAAGAACGTATAGTGCCCACACAACTTACGGCCTAAAGCCCTAAGTATAATTATTCGTATATTTACACGTATAATTATTCGTATATTTATACGTATAATTATACTTATCAATATTTTATAATATTTATGTATATATTAATAAACAAAAATATATTCCATATTTATATATTCCTAAATATTAAAAATTATAGACACGTATAATTATACGTATAATTCTTGTTTCAAATTCGTATGTCTTATTATACGTATAATTATACGTGTTTTTTTCAATAGGGTTGAAAAAACAGCTAGAGAGACAACAAAGCAGACGACAGAGCTTGTTAAAAGTTAATTTTAAGAGTGTTTAAATTTTTAATAAAAAATTGATAACCTGTCAGTAATCTAATTTGGTATACTTGATTGTATTATACAATGGATTTGCTAACTAAGACTCATCAATTTCAATTTATTAAATTAATCACGTGTCGTTGATTACCAAACAAAATAACATAACCTAAATGTATTCACACATGTATGCGCAGAAGTTTCATTTTTTCTCTAACGCGCAAACCACGCCATCCTTCATTTTCCTCCGTAATTTGCTTCACCCCCAACACTGTAGTTATTCCTCCTTATTCTAGTCTTCTTGATGTAAATGCAGAATGCAAAACCGAAAATAATGAGAATGAAAAGGACAGGGACATATTACTATCCTTTTTACTCGCATTATTTCCGGTTTTGCATTCTGCAATTACATCAACATGTAACTCCACCCTAAAGGCGCTTGTATACCTCACCGATACCGAGTATTCTTGCGTCGTGTACCATTGGAGTAAAAGAGAAAGAAATATCTTTTGTCTCTTTTACTCCAATGGTACACGGCAAAAGTATACTCAGGATTGGGAAGGTATACA